TACCTTTCTTACACTGATTTTATTTAATCAACACCAAATTTAGCAGCCCTTATCCTCCTGACCTCTCTCCAGCTCCCAAAAAGCTTTCCAAGCAAAGTCTTCCCCACAGAAAAAGAAAAGACCCAGAACAGATTAGTTTTACGCCTTGTTCATTTTTCAGTAAACGGTGGCGGGTAAGTTGGTCAGCACAAGAGTTGACCAACTCACCTGCATCCATGTTTCAGTATTACTGAGTCCAACTGAAAAAGAGTGATTCCTGAGCACCTCAGTTACCTGGGTATGCATTATCCTCCACTCACTTGGGTAAATAGCTTTCCTGTCTGCGGGGAAAATTGCTAACACATGATGGGACAACATTGCCCCTTCAATAATGACAGTATGACACTTTTATGGATAAAATGGTCATTGTATAACTTAGAAAACGAAAGAAGACTAGTACATGCACTTACCCTGGTTAGTGTTTCCTAGGAACATTTTCCCGGATAAGTGCATTTACCCGGGTAAATGACTTCCCGAAAAATGAACTCGGCCTTAATGTTTGCCATTTGCTACTTTAGCTAGGGAAACTAACTAACTCATAAAAAAAAAGTCCAAAGGAAACAAGCCAATGTTAACCAGTTTTTTTATAAAGAAATCATTGCTTAGTCACCTTGGTGACAAGGATCTCCATGTTGCCTAGCCTTGCCTTAGTGCCTTAACCACTAGGCTAAGATCCCATTCAATATAAGGAAATGAATATTAGTGATAGTTTTCATACCTTGAATTTCTATAATATAACCCTTCTATTTCCCTCTCCAAATGCTCCAGCAAACAACAAAAGGAATAGAGGTCCAAAAAAGTCTTTATGGGGATGAGAGAAGCTCGGGTGGGAGAAGATCGAGGGATATGGTGCAATTTGCTGATTTTATCAATAGATTTGAACTTCAAGATTTACCCCTTCATGGCAACAGGTTTACTTGGACCAACAATCAAGACCTTCCTACTCTAGTGAGACTTGATAGGTTTCTGGTTACTTCTAACTGGGAAGATATTTTCCTGGAGTTTAAGCAGATTACCCTTCCAAGACCCGTGTTAGACCATATTCCTATTCAACTGGCTTGTGGTGGTAGAGTGAGCAAAAGTTCCTTTCAAATTAGAGAATGCTTGGTTTGAGGACGATTCTCTTGTTCCTTTGCTGAAGTCTGTTTGGGAGGATTTGTAGGTGGGGGGTACCCGTTCATTCATCTTAGCAAAGAAATTGGAGGTCATTAAAGCAAGACTAAAGATTTGGGGAGTCTATATATTGAGAAGAAGGCTCTCCTGAGTACCATAAAGGAGATTGACACATTTGAAGAATTAGGCCCTATTGCTGAGGAGCTCAGATTAAAAAGATTCCAGGCTAAGTTGAAATTTGACAAATTGGTAGTGGTAGAAGAAATTAAATGGAGGCTGATGGAGGGAGATTTGACCCGACCCCTTGGCCATGCGACACGTGGAAGCAACCGAGAGTGACCTGGCAGAAGCGCCAGCTTGGCACGGCAGCGGGCCTACAACCCGAGCTCCGAGCTAAAGAGTCCCGAGCTCCCCAAGGAGGAACCTGCAACCCGAGCACCGAGCTAAAGAGTCCCGAGCTCTCCCTTCGAGGTCCTGAGCCTTACAAGGAGCACAAAAGGCAAAGAACCCGAACTGCCCACCCAGGGGCAGTTCGGGCCACGCTTCTATCCGAACTCAAGACCACCTCGGCTCCAAGTCGCCTGATTGAACAACCGTACCTGACGCCCAGGAAGCCCGTACACGGAGGCGGCGCACCTGACTGATTAGGGGTCCGACACATGACAGCCGCCC